TTGGCCAGAAGTGATGGTTTAAAGTTAAAACACCTTAATGATGGATTTGTTTCATATAAACATGCAGCTGTTCACTTCACAAGACAATAACTGATGGACTAGAGTCACATCGTGGACTATCGTGATGTTTTTATCAGCTGTTCGGACTCTCATTCTGACGGCACCCATTCACTGAAGAGGATCCTTTGGTGAGCAAGTGATGTAATGATACATTTTTCCAAATCTGTTCTGATGAAGAAACAAACTCATCTACATCTTGGACGGCCTGGGGGTGAGTACATTTTCAGCAAATGTTCGTTTTTGGTTTTTAACTATTCCTTTAAAGTGCTGGAAATGCAAAAACCAAGAAGATAAAATGGTTTTCTTTCTATAAATGGTTTTATTCCATTTATACACAGTTAATCACAAAATTCATGGTGACAAGTGCCCTGTAAGGCCCGTTTGGCCAAGTGTGAGTCAAAAGAGAACACCATGTACTGCTGTTACATTTCCAATCTCCATTAAAATGTCTCTGTTAAAGCTGGTCTTTGCAGCTTGCATTAAATGAAGGCAATCGATTGTCATTTAACAAGCCGGCAAATAAAAAATGTTATGGGAATTCAAGGAACAAAGACAGAGATGTCACACAATTCTGATCTGGCTGTAGTTGCATCGCTCTAGCTGGTTTTATCCTGCATGGCACTAGAGGAATAGCTCGTGTTTAATGGAGCTCATCTGTTGAGAGAGACGATAACATCTGTGATAACCAAACTCGGGGCTCAGCAATTATAAAGACCGTATGTGAATCTGATGCACCAAGCCCCAAAACAGTTCGAAATTGTGTTAGTTTGTGGGTGGCAGCATGCAAACAGCAATTCTCCCCCAGCTCACATGCTGCAGTGAAGGATAAAACTGCATGATTTCCCCCTCCACTGCACATGCACAATAAATGCATATGCTAATACACAAATGATTTATTAAGATATCCTCATATCAAGAACCATTCTCTTCATCAGGGCCGGCTCTAGGTCTTTTGCTGGTGAGGCATCTCCCTGCTGCTGTTTTAAAGATTACATTGATCCAAACTTCATTTATGCCAAGAACCACTGCTGCAGTGAAGCTTTTGCACTGGCGTTCATCTGAATCTATGTGAGTCGAGGGCTACATGCTGACTCTCTACGAGGGAGATGCCAGATCTGCACCCAGATGCACAAGCATGTTTGCTGTTGTGGGGGGAATACCTTAAAACAGTCTAATTTCTGCAAACTATAATGCAAACTGAATACAATTAGTGGGGATACTTAATTGGTTGTATATGTATATTTATTTTATACATATTTAAATTATTAATATTATTTTATTTATATTATTATTATTATTATTAACAAAAACACCTTTATACTTCAAAGTAGTAGAAATCTGATTTTTTTTATCCTTTAACCCTCACACACACACACACACACACATATACAGTGGTGGAAATGGCCAAAATTCACTATTCACTCTAGCTATAATGTTATTATAACATATGTTATACTCTGTAATGTTATTATAATCTGTAATATCATTAAACTTATTTAATATTTTTCTCTAATCCTTCTTGGATATCAAGACAGGAACCCTGCAATTCTGGTCAAATTAAAGATACATTGTGTGTGAGTTTGCACATGTTATAATGTAAGCATCATTAATGACCCATTGTGTTTAATAAAAAACAAGCAAACAAACAAACAAACAAAAAGATTGATTAGTGAAATGAAAGAATGATTTAATAAAAAATGAGAATGATTAGTAATTGTCTAAAGGTAACATTACATTCTTCAGGACTTGACACTTACATATCTTTTTAGGAGCGCTTGTGCTCCTATACTTAAAAAAAATTAGGAACACCTTCTGATCAATGACAGAAATTAACCTTCCCATTATGAGGCAATATTTGACTCTTTAAAGTGATTTGCAAAGGCATTTTTTTAAGCTTTTGTCTCAAAAAATTTATATTTATAAACTTTTATCAAAAATTTGAATTAAATGATAAATTAAATTAAAATAATACAATACAATCCGGACGAATAAGTTACCAGTCAAATTAAATAAGCATCAACACAAATTTGGCATTAAGGAATATTAACAAACTGTTTAACGAAGCTCAGAGGTGGCATGAATGCATTAATAACAGTGTTATGGGATGAATGTTTTATATATAAAGTTTTGAAAATAGAACAATTAAACAATTTAAATAACTTAATTTATACTTTAAAAATTAAACTGAAACCACCAGTAGGTGGAGGCAAGCCACTGTCTTTGTCACTGAATTCACTTAATCGATTCGTTCAGACGGCTGATTCATTTAGGTAGGGTGACCATACGTCCTCTTTTTGGACCTAAAAACAATTCTAAATCGCCCAAAATGTCCGGGATTCGGTTTTTGCTTTCTACAGTCGCCATTCATAATGTGCGTTTTTTGATACCTAAATGAATCAAACTTTATGTATTAAAGTTCAATAACATTTGCATGGTTGTGAACGAATTTGTCAAGTATTTACGCCACGCCTAGGGTTGCCACGATTTACGGAATCGTCCCGTAGTCAATTTAGGGCATCAAAGAAGCGTTCAGCATGAAAGCCATACACAATGCAGTTTGTCCTAGAGGTCTGCATGAACCAACCGATTTTTTGCGCTGTGGGATTGAATTCCCGAATAAAATGCGGTAGCGGTCGGTAACTCTGGTGTAATTTGAACGGGAGCGGGCGGCCTAACAATATCCCGACATCTATTTAGAACAGCATATCTGCGATTTATTCTTATTGACCACCAGTACAGCTTGCGCTCTGGACTGTTATGCACGCATTGCACGCATGCTTTAAACGTCATGCTTTTATTTGCATGGTCTGTGAGCAGCATGTGCATAACGATGCTCAGAGCAGGCTGTACCGGTGGTAAATACACGGTTCTTACCGTGTATTAAAAAACAGTCCCGCGCAGACCTCTAGTTTGTCCCCTATTTGCCATATGACCACCTAGACCAGTGTTTCTCAACCCTGGTCCTGGGCGCCCCCCAGCACTGCACATTTTGTATG